AGTACATCATCGGCCTGACCATCGTCGGCTTCTGCTACTACAAGATCCTGGCCAAGGCTCTGGCCAGTCGGCGGCGTCTGCGGCGGCACTCGAACCGCAGCCAGGGTCACCCTCGTATGTCCGTCAGAGCTCTGATCGCCGTGACTTGGCGCCGCGCCACGGGTCGGGTCACGATCGGGACTGGTGGGGAAGAGGACGCTGCGGCGGCGTCATCCGCGACCGCCGGAGCAGGCCAGAGCGCGAGACCAACCAAGGAGGTAGTCCTGGCGCCCAAGGAGCTGGAGCTCGCCAGCGCCTCCTTCGCGGTGCCGCTGGCAGCCAACAGCTCGCTGACACGACCACGCTCGCCAGCGGCCATACCCAGCGTGATGACCACCGCCCTGACACCGGCTACGATCTCTATGGTCAGCCTGGGGACCTCTGCTACCTCTGGCTTTGGTCCTTCCCGAGCCCCCACCTCAGCCGCCACCCCTGAGAGTATGGCAGACACCACTCAAAGACGACGGACCATTCTCCCTGCAGAGCAGCGCCCGCCGGTCCGGCAGACGGGCAGAATTGACGTCGTGGCTACCGTATCCACCGTCATCTTTCTACTGACATTCTTTATGTCTTTTACGCCATATGTGGCAATAGTGCATTATGAGAAGTCCATCGTTCTTGATTGTTTACTGATGCCCAAGAAACGCATCTATCTGTTTCTGTGTTTAGTAATAAGTGGAGGAATTAACGCTATCTTTAACCCGCTTGTTTGTGTCGTTTTTAGTCGTGGTTTTCGCGACACTTTTCAGCAAACGTGCACAAATTTTAACCGTCGTGTTAAACAGTGTTGTGGTTATTAAAATAAATGCTTAGACTTTCCCCTAACTGCGTAGGTGTCATGAATCTATCGAATAGTTAGTATGTTAATTATGTATTGTGTGTTTCATGTTGTGTTACATTTAATATTTACTAGGAGAGGCCTAAGCTGTTTTTTCAGGCTGTTAAGACAAAGACTCGATCGATTTTACGCAAAGATGTTATAAAACTTTGATACGCATAGAAAGGCACTTATTATTTTGTAGCAAGGTAAAAGAGAAAGGGAGGGCGTGGTAAGCACTGCTGCATCGTTGCGGATAATCAAACACCGCTGTCCACTGTTGTTCAGCTGGTTTAGCAGAAGAGAGAGAACAATTTGCGGCTGTAATGACTCGATAGTAGAACTTGTGATACAGGGGAGCTTGAGAGTCGTTGAAGAGATCCCGAGAGGGATCTTCAGAGAGAGGTCCAGATATGGATGAGATCCTGAGATAGATGTTGAGATCCACCTGAGGGAGATGTAGGTATAGATCCTCCTTGCGTACACATGGGAGAGATGTAGATCCAGCTGAGGAAGATGTAAGTCTAGAATGATCCACCTTGCATACAAATACATCTGATGGAAGATGCTTTTTAATTTAGAGGCTTGATGATTCTGTTCATTGTATAGACCATGATGCACGAGATGCTTCTTCACTGCTCGGATTAGGGATAGAGGGATCCGATCAGCTGGGTTTGCGGCACAGTTGGGCAGGTGAAGGACAGGGCATTCGAAGTCCCGATGACCACTGCCAAACTTATGGGTGGTAATTACATTGATTAATTGAATGTGATCATTCGTCCAGTCACCCATTCCTATATCACTGGCCTCCCCATTACGAAAATTGCCCACTTAATTCGTATTAGCGTTGCTATAGTTTAGTTGCCCTCGAGGGTTGCTAGCTCGACTGCCGTAACCGAATTCTACGCAATTCCTATCGGCCTTATTCTAAGATTCATCCTTCAACATTCTCACACCCTTGCTCGCGTTGGGTGAAGTTGGGGAAAAGTGCTGAATGGGGATGGCGGGCCTGGTGAGGGGGGGGGGGGGTAGTGAATAATGAGAGGGGAGGAGAGCGCAGCAGCAGCGCTCCGCTCAGCTGTGCGTCACCCGGTAGCAGCGATGGGTGTGTGAATGGAGGGCTAGGCCTGTGACCGGACTGCGAGGGGGGGGGGGGGGACTGCCGGACCGAGCCGTGCCGAAAAGATATTACGTTAAATGTTCAAGATGTAGCGTGCTACAATTTGCAGTGACTAAGTAGTTCCTTCTCGGAATATGCAATAAGAAAGACAATGACAAGGGCTGCTCATTGGAACGTAAAACAAACGCCACCTCGGCCCTCCCGGCTCGATGCGTTATAACACGATCGAACCACCGTAAACATATATACGGACTTGTCGGCGCCAGGGCGGCGAACGGTCCTGACACGGGTCAACAGGTACATTTGGCCTGAAACGGTCACTCTCCAGACGGACAGATAACTTATCGGTATGTGCATGCTTACCTTCATGTGATGGTGACACTGACAACACATGAACAGGAAGACGTGAATTTCCGGCAAGATGAGCAGAATTTTCATTCGCCATGAGGCATAGTCCTATTTAGCTATTAGCACCTATAGGACACTATAGGTGATAACTCGTGCTTTCGGTAAATAATGGGCTTGTACATAAATGCCGTACCTACATGGATCAGAACCTGTATGAATCAGAGATGACGTGTTAGACTCAAATATAATGCTTAATTAACTAAATTTAGTGCATTTAAGATCAGTGACCACACTCCGCATTTTTATGTAAAATACGTGTAAATGCTAGTGATGCCAAAGCATTAACTTCCCCAAAACATGCATCGTTCAGAACTACCAGCCGATAGCGGTTCGTATGGTAGTACCATTCGGAATTACAATCAACAGTTTTAAATACGGCTTCAAATGTCTCAAATCGGTTCGAAAATGCCGGGAAAATTGTGTAGCTTGACCACAAATAACATGAACTAAATAGATAAATGAGCAAGAGCGTAAGCTAATAATAAGAGAGTACCTAATCTTCTCGATATAATTATTGTAATCGTTTATTAATATAGTGGACGCTGGGCTGCTGCTATGCTACGCATTCAACGTGTATGTACATTGATTTTCCCGATTGTCCGGTCAACTAGGGCTGACAGTACCCACTAACCAATTTATGTTAGAGTACCTACCTAATCAACATGATAGCCCGCTTTTATTACATTTAGATGCCCTTACGGAACATCTTATTCGCATTTTGCGTGGGTAGCTGCAGTTTTTTTCCTGTATACATGTATAAATGACGACTCGTCATATCCCTATCCAGGATCAGGAGGTCACGAAGTGATTGCTTGTATTTTTACTGCAATTGTGTTTGGACCTTAACCCGCGCCGTGCTGGGGGGGGGGGGCGTTTTTACGCCCCCCCTCAGGTTTTTCGCAAATATCTCAAAAACGACGGCGCGCAGCGCCGCCGTTTTTGGTACAGGTGTTCCTACATCATTTCCGCACATGTTGTGAAAATTTCAGACCTAGGCCGTTCAAGGTCAGGTCACCAGGTCACGTCAAGTGACCTTACCTCAGAAAAAGTTCAAAGGCTCGCTATAGCTACACCGACTGAACGATCACTTTGAAACTTTCAGCGATTGATATGAGTAACAGTATGTATAAAATGTATATCTCGGATTTTTGATATCTGTGACCTAAGGTCAGGTCAATTTTGCGACCTCTCCATTATAAGTCAATGGGAGAAAATTGAAATGCGCCTCTTTTGGACGAATATCGTTCAAAACGCTCTCAAACATCGGTTCATAGGTAAACATGACACACTGAATAGGAAAAAATGCACCTGTGACCCCTCTGTGTGCCCCTGAGGTCATCTCAGGTCATGAACGGTCGCCAGCAGTTTTTTGGCTATAACTTTTGATAGAGACGTGCTAGAGCGGTGAAAACACGTCAGATGTGTTCAGCTCGACGATACGGATCGACTGATATGCAACATGACCCTTTTCGGTCAGGTCATGACCTTGACCTGAGGTCAAATTTTCAAAATGACCTTTCAAGGTCAACGAATAGTTCATTCGACGCGTCTCGACGAGAGAAACACGATGCTGGCAAAAGTAATGTCATGGCGCTTATGAGTCAAAAGTTATTGACGAAAAAACGTTTTTCGTAAAAACGGCTATTTTTGGAGTTTTTGCCCTCTGGAGGCTAAACCGTTGACCTGAGGTCAAATCTGAGAACATTACTCAGAAAGGTCTGTAAAAGGGCTATCGAATGCGCTTTTCCGCGGCGCTGTAGCTCTATCGGTTCCCGAGATAGCCGTTGGCAGTTTCCAAAATGTTGAAATAGTCAACATTTTACCTTTGGTGACCTCTGGTGACCTGACCTTTGACCTGACCCAAAAAATGACCGAAGTGTTTTCGTCCTTATTTTTGACGCTCTTTCGATTGCCGCTTACCGCGTGTCGCTACGTGGCCCAGGAGCCGAGTTAGACGGGGGGGGCGTGAAAACGCCCCCCCCCCCCCCAGCACTCGGCGGAAAGTTCAGGCCACCAGCACGGCGCGGGTTAATGCAAAGGATTGGTGGTACGAGACAATCTGTGTAATGGAAAATAAATAAAGGAGATCTGCAGAGCCCCCCTTCAAGTCAAAAGCAGGGTCGAGTGTACATAAGTACAGGTCTCGCGGGTTTTAGCGGTAGGTTTTGCACCTAGAAAATTTAGTGTATTTCTGGCTATATCTTCGTCGTCTTAAGCTTTTAAGTGTTGAAGATGCGATCGACTTGTTGGGTAACAAGCCGGCCATGATCGTGTAAAATGGCTTCATCGTACATCGATTAGTTTCTGAGATATAACCGGAAATGTAAAAGTGCAAAACCTACCGCTTAATCTCGCGAGACCTGTATGTACCTAATACCACAGCAGACATATCGGACTCAAACCGGCAGTCGAGAATCGATTGTTTATAAAGTGAATACGAATAGATCCGTATATTTTTTGCAAGTCACAAACAAATAGAAATAGCTTTCGTTAAGAGAATCGTTCGCTCAGTGTGATAACGCCCGAGGCCAACGGAGGACACAGAGGTGGCGTAAGCCCCGAGCCCCACAGGTGAACAGGACGAATAGCGCTCTGTCACCTGGGCTGAGCGCATCCCTAGCACCGGAGTTTGATCTGGCAGACGAAGGGGGCCGTGAGCACGCAGCGCTCGTCGGCCCAGCCCTGCGTCCAGCCGCCGTAGCGCGCCGAGTTGTCGTACATGACGCACCTCTCTCCGCCGTTGTCGTCCGGCTGGCCGCGCAGCCAGTCGCTGTCGCCGCTCTCCAGCACGTGGCCGTCGCTCCAGATCCAGCCGTCCTCCTCCAGACGCAGGCCGATCCAGGCCCGGTGGTGCTGGCTGGCGTCCACCAGGCCGTGCACATGCGGCCGAGAGACGTTGTCGGCGGAGGCCAGCCGGGCGCGCCGGTCGTGCACGCGGCACGCCTCGGCGGCCCCATCGGCAGTCAGCTCCTCGTCGAACAGCCGGAAACAGTTGCCGTCGTGCTCGTGCCAGCCGGCAGGGCAGGCGCCCAGCGCCGCGCGCACCGCGTCCACGCCCTGCTGCAGCACCTTCAGCTGCTGCTGCAGCGCCTTCTGTCCCTGCTCGAGCACCTCCTGGCCACGGAGCAGCCTCTCTGTCTGCAGGTCGGCCAGCGCGGCCGGCAGCAGCAGCGCCGCACAGATCACCGTCAGCGAGATAGGGGTGAACATGGCGGAGACGGGAGCGGCTCTGGTGGCCCGGCCAGCCGCCGGAACACTTTATACACCGTCCAGACGCGGTGGACAGACGCGGCCTTGGCGAGCTCCCGGTAACGCCAGCTACCAGAGACGCAGCAGGTATGCTAACTGACAAACCGACGGCTAACAGATGTCTCGCAGACGTAAAGACGCCACATTCCGGGGCAGCTCTGAACTCAGTAGTCAGTTCCCGGCGCTTATCACCCAGACGTGGTCAATAATTCGATCCGAGAACCATTCAGCCAACCATCGTCCTCTATTGGCAATCAGTTCGAGAGAGCCTATAGCAACAGAGCCACTGGGATCCGGGACGATGCCTCGCTAACCTCGGGGTGCTTTGTGTAACATTGAACCGTGGCTGCAGGCAGTGGGAGGGAATCGGTCAGCACTAAAACGTAACCAAATAGCAGAGTCGAGCCGGTGACAAGAATGGTGCACGATAGGGTTTGTGAGCAGCAATATATGAAAATAAGGGCATTAACCCGCGCCCCAGTGGCGGTCTCAGCCAACTTCGCCCTAGTGGGGGGGGGGGGGGGGGAAGGGGCATACCTAAGTATGTTACCACCCACCTCAACTCAAAAACTAAGAGGGCTAGAAAGACGCGGTAAAAAGCAGTCGATAGCTCTCATTTTCAGCTCTCATTTCAGTTCAGTCATTTTCACCTTAGAACCATATTGGGGTCACTGGAGGTCATCAAAGGTCAAAATTTGCCAAATGTCATTACCTATAGGTATTTTTCAGAAACCTGCATTTATCTCAGGAACTATATGATAGCTAGAAAAACGCATGGAAAAGCAATCGATCTAGCTTTTGAGCTCTTCTTTTGATAAGGTCATCATCAAAAATTGGTCATCATCAAAAAAAGTTGACCTCAGGTCAAGGACCAAGGTCATGACCTGACCGGAAAAGATCATGTTGCATATCAGTCGATCCGCGACGTCGAACCGAACACATCTAAAGCGTTTTCAGCGCTCTAGCACGCCTCTATCAGAATTTATTAGCGAAAAACTGTTAGATTCTGTTCGTGACCTGAGATGACCTTGGGGACATAACAAGGCATGGTGTGTCAAAAGTGGAAATAGCCGCCCGGCTTTAGTTCGCCAGCCTTGTCAATAGATGGCAGTACCACAATATGGGCAGCGGATCGTGCAATTGACGTCAAATTTTCGTTATCTGATAAGAATTGAATGGCGGATCTTTTCATGCAAGAATCATGTAAATCGGTCCACAACTTTTCTAGCAACAGAGATATGAAGTCAAACACCCTGCCAGAGCGGCGGCGCGCGGCCGGCGGCGGCCGTTACGCGCCGCCTGGGAGACTGGCGGCGCTGAACGGCTCCGACTTGGCACTGCACTAAAACCTGTTAACTGCTTGGAATGGTTATTATAGCAAAATTTTCACTCAAGTGAGGGATAACCAAGGGCAGGAAGTATGTATGCTTGTGTGCGTACTGTGTAAGCCAAGAAACTGCATTAGCAGATACTCGCTAATATTAGATCCAGCCAAGTCCAAACGCATTCCAGGGGATGTGTTCCTGATGGGTCAACAATATTTATCGTTCGAGGGCGGATACAGTTTTAACAATACAAAAAATATTTTTGCACAACTCTATTCCTTGAATAATTCTCTTCAACGCCTCATTCCTAGTTAAGCGAATTAGCCCACCCTGGTTGAATAAATAAGGCGATTTCGCCACAAGGTCGCGGAAAACCGACCAAAAACGGCCGCGCTCAGCGTTAATTTGGGCATGCAGACCATAGGCGCGGGAGCCGGGGGGGCAGTGGGGGCAACTTGCCCCCCCAACTCTGGGGCCGTGGGGGCGGTGCCCCCACAGCTTTGAGACGGAATACCACACTTTGTTTGCAAATGTTTTCTTTTTTTGTTGAAAAAGCCGAGGGGTGAAAAATAAGTGGCCTAAAACCGGTGAGAAAACTAGATTTGGGGGTACCCTAGGTTAATCTCTATTATGGTGTGCCCCCCCCCCCAGTCGGAAAGTAGTTCCCGCGCCCCTGATGCAGACTCTTAAATACTCGCATTGGGCGGGTAGGGTTTCCCAGGTATTGGCTCCAAAACACCGTATTCGGCTCCCGAATACGTCCAAGTGACCCGCCTCGTTCCTAGTTAAGCTCTAATTAGATCAAGTGACTCATAAGGAGCGAAAAAGCGACAAAAGCATGAATTTCCCTATGGCGGCGGGCTGCCATGCCGGGTTGCCAGACGGCGCACCGGCTATTTCCACTTTTGACACACCATGGGGTGTACTTGGAGCCAGAGTCCTTTTGAAAAAAAACGAACTATAGAAAAAAAAATGTTGTTCTAATAAATCGCTGAAAGTTTTAAGGCAATCGATTAGTCGGTGTAGCTATGACGAGCATTCTTATTTTTTCTGAGGTGAGGTCACTTGGCGTGACCTGGTGACCTGACCTAAGGCGACCTGGGTCTGAAATTTTCACAACATGTGCGGGAAAGATGCACGAACAGGTGTGCCAAAAACGGCGGCGCTATCTGCGAAAAACCGCAGGGGGGGGGGTGTTCAAACACCCCTCGCGGCCCGGCGCGGGTTAAAGGGACCCTCCCACTTTCAAAATAGTTAATGAATTGGCATGAAAGTGATGTCGCTCGGTTCAGAAAGAGCAAAAACGAATATCTACCAAATTTCATCAAAAAATATTCACCGGTTTTCAAGATATTAGACTTTTACTTTTGTTTACTTTTTGGGATCCCCGCTGTTCCTAGCTACTTTATTTGAAAGTGCGGCATTTGTTGCGCGCAAAGCAGCATATACCACCGCGTGCTACAAAACGTTTTAGTCAAACATTTAAAAATCGTTAGATATCTGCGATGACGTCACACATTCAGAGGGGTATTCTTATGCATTAGCCCCTCTGAATCAAAATGCTGCAATTTTGAAATTCAATCTTTCCGATTTAAGGCATTTCTCGATGTTGTGAGTGCCGAAACCGGTAATTGTGAGCCAGGGACCCCATTTCGGCTATCTCAACTCAAATCTAATGTTAAGGTGGGAGGGTCCCTTTAATGTGAAACGAACGGGTGCTGTTTGCATACCTAGGTATAGGCCCCCCGACGGGCTATCGCAGTTTTGAAGAAGTGTTGCGTATTTTTACACATTTGGCCGCGTAAACTGGTAGCAGATGCACCCACACTCCTGAGTTATGCCCCCACAATAATGAAAATGCACCCACAAGTCTTTTACAAGCGTCTTTTCGAGAGCACGGCGCTCTTCGGATGCCCTAACGACATTCTCCTAAGTCCTAACCGTCTTGTGTTCCCGAATAATATAGCCTTTTCAATAACTTGGCGCCCTTTTGGGAGAATGACGCCCTTTTGACAGCACCGCGCCATTCTCATGGTCTAACGGCGCCCTCCTGACCGTCTCGCGCCCTTAGGTCTCTGTCCACCGTGCATCCCTCTACTGTAATTCGGCGCGCTTCTGGCCTCTCAGCGCCCCTGGATAACATAGCGCTTTCAATCACTCGGCGCCCTTTTCATGGTCTCACGGCGCCCTCGTACCTAACCGTCTGGCGCCCCTACGTCCCTACCAACTTAGCCTTCCTGACTGTGCGGCGCCCTTCTGGCCTCTGAGCGTCCGGCCTGGATCACATAGCGTTTTCAATCACTCGGCGCCCTCCTAAGAGAATGGTGCCCTTTTCATGGTCCCACGGCGCGCTCGTAACCGTCTGGCGCCCCTACGTCCCCACCAACTTTGCATTACTGACCTTGCAGCGCCCTTCTGACCTCTGAGCGCCCCTCTGCCACATAGCGTTTTCAATCACTCTTTTTCCTTTTCATGGTCTCACTGCGCCCTCGTAACCGTCTGGCGCCCCTACGTCCCCCACTAACTTAGCGCTACTGACTGTTCGGCGCCCTTCCGGTCTCCCAGTGCTCCTGGACCATATACATATAGTTTTCAATCACTCGGCGCCCTTCTAGGACAATGGCGCCCTTTCCATGGTTTCATGGCGCCCTCGTAACCGTCTGGCGCCCCTACATTTGACGTCCCTCTACATTTGTTTACGCCCTTCCGGTCACTTTACACTTTTAAGCGTGTATTTTCTTAGTCAGACATGTCACTTGAAGCGCCCTTCGGCTAGCAATGTTATCAAATCCGGTGTTAATTTAGGCTCCCACATAAAGAATATCCATTGCGCCCCAAAAAGGCCGGCGCCCCTACAGCTGGGCACCCACAAACATTTTAGGAAAATTACACCCCTGAATTCCTACTTGTACTCATAACATTGGCTTCTCTTACCAAAGATTTCTTAACCTTGGCCCCAGTGGGGGGGGGGGGGGCATATGTAGGTATGTTACCACCCTATCGCGTTTTTTGCGTGTGAATAAAAAAAAACGCGCGCGTAGCGCCGCGCCGCTTGGAGTAGCTTTTTGTACATCAGTTTTGGACAATGTGTGAAATTTTTGACCCTAAGTCATGTCAGGTCAGTTTACCAGGTCAAGTTAACTGACTAAGCCTAAAAAAGTTTGCAATCATGTCCAGCCTGCAGTGTTTGTCAGAAAGGTTTTAAACTTGGTGGATTGCATGATGTTATGGGCGCCTATAATTTGTATATCTCGGATTTTTTATATACGTGACCTAAGGTCAGGCCAGTGGCGTGACCTTACCATTATAAGTTAATGGAGAAAAATGAAAATGCCTCTAGATCCGTGTTTACGCATAGGAACAGTCCAAATATTTCAGAATCACAATAATTTGGACCACCCGTGACGACCAAGGTGTCTTTTTTGCTGATAGCCTCTGGAAAGGTCATCTGAGGTCATTTTTTTAATAAATTTAGCTCGAATGTTTGAATGGACGGATTGACAGAGCCGGAGCCCACGCTAAGCAGAGCTTGTTGCGTAGACCCCGACCCCTACCGTCCGATCGCGCAATTCCGGGTATCGGGAGAATTTAGATGCCAAAGTTTAACGTGCCCTTCAAAGCCGGACACGGCCTGCCCCACTCAACTGACTTCAACTGGCTGCGGCTGCTCCCACCAACCGCAGACCATCCCCGTCAGGAGTCTCAAATATCGAGCGCCGGGGCGTCTCGAACCCGGGCTCTCACTACCGGGAGTCCAATGCTCTACCAACTGAGCTACGGGACATTTGAGGCTACAAACAGATTTTTGCCAATAACTCTCGATTAGAAAGAGATGGGACGCTGGGGATGGCCTCATTGTGTTTGTCTTGTTGAGACGCATCGAATGATATGCAACATGACCCTTTCCGGTCAGGTCATGACCTTGACCTGAGGTCAAATTTTCAAGTTGACCTTTCAAGGTCAAGTAATAGTTCTTTCGACGCGTCTCGGCGAGAGGAACACGATTCTGGCAATAGAAATGTCGTGGCTTTTTTTAATCAAATGTTATTGTCGAAAAACACTTTTCATAAAAACAGCTACCTACCTATTTTTGGAGTTTTTGCCCTCTGGAGGCTAAACCGTTAACCTGAGGTCAAATCTGAGAGCAATACTAAGAAAGGTCTGTAAAAGGGTTATCGAATGCCCTTTTCCACGGCGCTGTAGCTCTATCGGTTCCCGAGATAGCCGTCGGCAGTTTCCAAAATGTTGAAATAGTCAACATTTTACCTTTGGTGACCTCTGGTGACCCGACCTTTGACCTGACCCAAGAAATGAACAAGTGTTTTCGTCCTTATTTTGGACGTTCTTTCGATTGCCGCTTACTGCGTGTCGCTACGTGGCCCAGGAGCCGAGTTAGAAGGAGGTGGGTGTTCAGACACCCCCCGGCCCGGCGCGGAATCTCGGAGCACCGGCCCGGCGCGGGTTAAATTTCGGGCACTTTTGAACAATGCAGGCAAGTATCATAGGATCTAAACTTCGCAATTCTTACATTCATATCGGTTTCCTACGCGAGTCATAGGCGAGTGGTCAGTGACCTGATATGATCTTGAAAATACAGCTAACGTCAGATGCGGATTGAATACGAGGTAAAGTAGGTATGACTAATTAAAACCCTCTAACGCATTCCTAACAATCACGACAAAACTGGAGATTGCACTCCCCTCGTTCGGCGAGGAATTATGTCACGCTATACCTACCGTTTGCGTAATTATTCAGCGCAATTAAGCAAAACCACACACCTGTCACATGACCATAGCTCAGTGGCGGATCCAGGATTTCGTCAAGGGGGGGGGCATACGGTGTTATATGGTGCCCCCCAAAAAATCCACGGATTTCGGCCACTTACTCAGGGGGATGGTGCCCTGAGACCTCGGGATGGTGCCCATCCAGACCGCGGATTTCGGAATGGTGCCCCTGGAATGGTGCCCCCGGAGACAGACTTCGGGATGGTGCCCCCTCTGCCATCAGACCTCGGGATGGTGCCTCCAGACCTCGCGATGGTGCCAGCGGAGACCTCGGGATGGTGCCCCCGGACCCTCGAGATGGTACCCCCTCCGACCTTGGGATGGTGCTCACGTAGAACTCGGGATAGTGCCCTCGGAGAACTCGGGATGGTGCCCCCACGGACCTCGGGATAAAAATAGCCTCACCCGAGTCGAGGGACAGAAATGGGCATCCGGGAGACCCCGAAAACGGTACCTTACCTATTCCGATAGGCCTTCTGGATGGTGCCCCCTTAGGAGACCTCTGGGTTGAAGCTCCCGTCGGTGACCTCCGTGATGAATTATAAAAAAAAAACACCGTGGTGGTGCCCCCGGGAGGCCCAAGGCGGGCCATGGCCCCCTCTGGATCCGCCACTGCCCTAGCTACGGAAACCAATGTCTGTATCTACTGGAAGGCTTTAGCGAGTGTATCATTGCGGCCTGCGGGAACAAATCACTGCTCAGGAGCTGATACCTACCCTTGTATTGTCGATACATCATCTGATTGGTCTTTTTGATATCGATAAAACGGCTCTTATCCAAGTAAACGGAATACGCACGGCTGCCTGCTGGTACTTCGCCAGGTGATTTCCAGCCTTATTTTGTCAAATAGCACAAGCCCGAATAACAGCCAGATGCAATGAGCTAAATACCTAACGCTGGAAAGACATCATTAGAAGTCCATCCTTGATCCAGTCGCACAGTTCGTCATAAAACATAGATAGGAAGGGCCGAAGGGATTTCAGCGTTCCATTTGACAGCTGTAAACAATCTGGTTTTAACCCGCGCACCGACGGGGGTCTGCGCCAACTTCGCACCGACGGGGGGGGGGGCGGATGACCGCCCCCCCCTGAGATCTCGAGAACGAAGCAAGATAGCGACAAGCGGTAAACGTCATCGGATACGCACGGTCAAGATCTACAATTTTTACAAAGGTCATTTTCAGGTCAGGTCAAAGATGACGTCACAGGGGTCGAAAAAGTCAAAATGGCGGCGCTGGATATGGAGAGTTTTTCTCGAATAACTTTCGAATTAGTCAAGATAGGAACAAACTAAGGGCAGCATCGTGATCATCTCGTCAATCCGCATCGAATGATATATATGTTGACCTCGAAAGGTCAAGGTCAAAGGTTGACCTCAGGTCACGTGACCTCGAGGTCATCATGTATATCATTCGATGCGCCTTGACGAGCTGAACACAATGAGACCATCCACGCGTCTGTATCTTGTTCCTGTACGGAGTTATTGGCCAAAAACCTTTGGTGACCTTTGATGACGTCACATGACCTCACAACTGCCCAACAGCAAAACAGACCTCAAGGTAGTGAAGGTTGATCGTATATGAAGTCATGTATGGTATATGGGGCCATTCCGACCCGTTTTAGTGGTAAAAACAGGGAGTTGATTTTTCCGCTATTGACTTATAATGGGGAGGTCGCGAAATTGACCTGACCTTAGGTCACCGATATCAAAATTCCGAGATAAACAAATTGTAGCTACTAATGACCTAATAACATCCTGCGACTTTCAAAGGCCTCCGACATCTACTGTAGCTCTGGCACGGTGACAAAGTTGCAAAAAAGTGACTTGAGGTTGGGTCATTCAAAGTGACCTGGTGACCTGACCTTGAAAGGTAGGAGGTTCAAACTTGCACACCATGTGTAAAATTGATGAGGGAATAGTCATACCAAATTTCGCGGCGCGTAGCGCCGCGGTTTTTCCGCTATTCGCGAAAAACCTCAGGGGGGGGGGGGCGGATATCCGCCCCCCCGTCGGTGCGCGGGTTAACTAAACGCTCACAGTAACCGTGACGTCAGTGTCATTAAATTTACAGCTGCTCGCCAGTCACAATCCGTCACAGATAACGTGAAACAGACAACCGATCAGATAACTACAACCGAAGATGTGACCAAACACAATGTATTTGCTTTCACAGTGTGCATTAAGGTAATAACGGTTCAGTTCGATGCTTTCACAGCTAATCAAAGGCAGGGCCCACCGGACGTGATTGGTTGGAATCGTTACACAATACATGATATGCTAATCGGTGTTCAATGGTACATTTAAAATCAACTGTGCGTCATACAATCCGTTGTTAAATGCATACAAGACAAGCTACTAGCTAGAACTTCTTACACGAATAACGCTTTGAAGTTCGCCTCACACTGAATCGCAAAACGTTCCTTATATTTAGGTCACTCTTAAGCGTCTCTCTAAGGCACGTGATCAATCAAGGAATCAATGTCACTTTCACTCCTAAGCAACAGCTTTGAAAGACCGAACGACGGCAGGCGGAGACACATGAAGCCCCGACAACCAATTGTGGCAGCATGGAGAGCACAGTTGGCCATAAGCTCAGCGTCAGGCGCTTTCCATCAACGAGTGCGCCTGAATCAGATGCGCCGTCAGAGCGCTCCTCGGTCCGACGATCCGAGCCGGACACCGGCTGCACTGCCAGTCCGTGGCCGGGTCGTGCTGCCCGCTGTGCTCCATCAGGCGGTCCGCTGTGCCAAAGGAGCGCGGACAGAGGTGGCAGCAGTAGGGGCCGCTCTCGGCGCGACACTGTTGGAGTATGTGCTGCAGTAGCAGCTCCTTAGACGCCACGTCAATGCCGCACTGCGGGCAGATCCCCTCCCGGGCGACTGCGCCGACATTGCTTTCCACCAGTTCAGCACTGCACCGCCACGGCGAGACCGGCGTGGTTTCGCCGCCGGGGCCCTCCCGATGCGCTTCCCGCGAGTACATCGCACTCGATCGTGAGCCCGAGCCCGAGTGTGACTTCATGACGTGCTGACGGAGGTGGTTTTTGGTTTTCAATACCCGCGGGCACATAGAACACGCGAAGGCGACTGGACGCGGAGCCCCGCTGTGGTTTCCTGTGGCCTCTGCGAGTGCCGACGAGGACGACAGCAGCGAAGCTGTTGCCGTTCTCTGTACTGGCAGCACTTGCCGATCACGAGATGTCGGTGCCGCTGGCATCGGCGAATCTGGCTTGTCTGCACCACGACTACCAACAGCCGCTTGCGGCCCATCTGGGCACGCTTGTATTTTGACAAGCTTGTTTTTTGACACGCTTTGGGGGTTATGCACTTTCATGTGCTCGATCAGAAAGTGCAAGTCAACCACTGTGATGCTACAAATTCCGCAGCGGTAGAGAGTGGTGGCCACTGCGCGCGGAACAGAGCTATCGTTACCCTTCGGTGCTGTGACGATCCTTGCATGGTGAGTCCTAAATTGATCAACGTCTACAGCCTTATTTACATTTGTGACGTCGCCAGCAGCTCGCCTGATACTTGGCTGCGGCCGAGACGAGTCCTTCTTTGGCTTTTGCTGGGCGGTAGCACGGCCCGTCCGGCACCTCTTCCGGTCAAATTTGTGAACATGGGGAATGCAAACAGGACACTTCGGAAACGATAGTGTGCCGAAAATAGTGCCATGTAAGCCACGCGGCGTGCACTGGCAATGCAGTGTCTTGTAGCTAGTTCGACGTGAACAGTCTGAAAAGGAAACATTTGGTTACTTCAGACAACCAGAAGAGGCTTATCCCCCATCACATCTGCGGAATCAACAGTTGGATCGAAAAAAATGCAAATGGCATTCGAAAGGACTCAAGACGCACAAGATCGAGTATCCGTCAATTTTGACCTGTGATGTTACAGGGAGGTCAAAGAAGGTCAAATCTGTCAAATTTACAATAACGAGCAGCATTTCATTAAGACAAATATGGGTTTCTTAAATGAGTCTGGATATTATGTTTATCATAGATCTGACACGAGGGTAGTCATCTGAATGGATGATGACCTGTGATGTCACAATAGAGATCAGCCTCATCCAATCAAGACACTTTCGTGAATCGTTCGAAAGCCCTGTCAAATTTGTCGAAGGAAACCCAATTTCATTGACCTCGGGGTTACCGATGACGTCACAGGTCAAGTCAAATATAAATTATTTTGCCGTTCACGGGTCTTCTTGGGAATGCGCTATAACATCGAGTAAAACACATTTTATCGACAGTCAGCGATAGGGCGTCAGTTGCCTAGAACGTATGCTGCTATTAGAGGTCACTGATAATACCAGGTCAGGTTACAGGTCAGGTCACCAAGGGTCAGGACATTAACCCAATTTTACTGTGGCTGTGCGATGCATGTTTTATAGTCAATTTTTCATTTCCAACTCAATAGTATTGGTTATATGACCATCAGAAACGGTTTAGGTCACTTCCTGGTGGTCAGGTCAATGTCAGGTCAAATTTCAAAGTTGATATTTTGCATAAAATGGGTATCAATTCGATGCAGCTCGTCACGGCGAGTCTAATAGTGGTCTGTGTTTTGCGCTACGTGGACTAGAATTGCCAAAAGTTTAATTTTAGAAACTTTGACGTAATCATTTTTGAACGGTTTTTCGCTAAACTTGGCCAAAAAAAGAGATATTGATCTGAAATTTGGTATGTATATAGAACACGGTAGGTACTATAATATATATTCCGGTTTTTCCAAAATTCGAAAAAAAATTTTGGATTTTTTTGGCAAATATATCCAAAAAATAGTTTTTTCATTTTTGGGGTCAAAACTCAAAAATTTCAAAAATCCAAGATTGCAGTTTTGTAGCCCTGTCAATTTTACCGCCTTTATGTCTTTACCATTTTTCTGTATCGTCAAAGCTATAGGCCTGACAGCTCTTCCCGCGAAACCCTTTTTTGGGGTCGAAAACGGCAGAACGTGAAGTCACTCTGACGTCATTTCCGGCCAACCAATCATAGCCTTTGGAATTTCTTTTTGGTCACAATATGTAAAATTGATGCCCGGGAGGGTACTGAAAATTTGGTGACGATCAGCGCAGCGGTTCTGGAGATATATCGAAAAGTCTGGAGGAGGGGGGGGGGGGTCAAAAATAGCCCCCCCCCACTATGGAGCGGGTTAAAGAATACATATAACCATCGCCGGACCTATTGGTTTTCTACATACGCACCGGGCGAGGGGGGGGGGGCGGGTACGACCCCCCTCGCCGTTTCGCCCCTGGTGGAGCTAGCGTGTCGCGGAATAACAGGCGTATTCGCCGTTACGAAACGCAGAGATTGATACCCGATTTTAAGGTCCTAGGTCAACCGGTGACCTCTGAGGTCAGATCAAGTGCCTCAATGTACGGTTTCGTTTTTGGTAAATAACTTCGCAAAAAAGGCCGCAGAGCCGCGATTTTGGCAGTATCGTGTTCGCATCGCTCAGGCGCGTCGAATGATATACTTTTTGTTTGGGTGAGGTCAACTTAGGGTGTTGACCTCGAGTCACGGTCACGTCAGCGCCACTAGGTCACGAAGTTGGTCGAAAGAGGTCATGTCGCATATCATTCGATTCGGCAGGTCTTCCTGAGTCCATTGGTGGCTTCCCCGACTCGCTAGCTGTATTTGATCGGGAGTTATTGACGAAAAACTAATATGAACCTAATGACGTCATAAATGACGTCACGCAAGGTCAGCATGGCAAAAGTGACGCATCAAACCTTGCAAGGAGTGCATGAAATCACGATTTTGTGTTCTTGAGATAGTTGGAGATCGTTCACGGCGCCAGAATAGCAGTTTTCATTTTCCCCCATTGACATACCCTTCCAGGCGATGGGGGCATTTTTGCCCCCCTTTAGTTTTTTTTTCGATATATCTCCAGAACCGCTGCGCCGATCGTCACCAAACTTTCAGTACCCTGCCGTGAATAGCTTTTACACATTGTGACCAAAATTTTTACCAAAATCTATGATAGGTTGGCCGCTAATACGTCGGAGTGACGTCATTTCTGCCATTCTCGACCCAAAAAAGGTTTCGCGGGAAGAGCTGTCAGGCCTACAGCTTTAGAGATACAGAAAAATGTTTCGACATTTTAGGTGTACCTAGAATTAACAGGGCTACAATACTGCTATCTCGGATTTTTAAAACTTTTGGATTTGACCCCCAAAAAATAAAAAAAAAGATTTTTTGAATATAATAGCCGAAAAATCCAAAAACTTTTTTGAATTTCGAAAAAACGGAATATACCTATGTGATAGTCACTACCACCTTTTATCCACATGCCAAATTTGAGATCGATACCCCTGTTTTTGGCCAATTTATAGCGAAAAAAAAAAACTGTTTAACCCGCGCCCCAGTGGCGGTCTCCGCCAACTTCGCCCTAGTGGGGGGGGGGGGATATGTTACCACCCACCTCTAACTCAAAAACTAAGAGGGCTAGAAAGACGCGGTAAAAAGCAGTCGATAGCTCTCAATGCGTACGTTTGAAAGTACTTCAGTCATTTTTCATCTTAGAGCAATATTGGGGTCACCAGAGGTCATCAAAGGTCAAAATTTGCCAATGGTCATTATATTTTTCAAAAAACATGCCGTTATCTCAGGAACTATGGTAGCTAGAAAAACGCATGGAAAAGCAATCGATAGCTCTTGAGCTCTTCTTTTGAAAAGGTCATTATCAAAATTGATCTCAGGTCACGGGTTTAGCCTCCAGAGGGCAAAAACTCCAAAAATAGCTGTTTTTACGAAAAGTGTTTTTCGACAATAACTTTCGACAACAAAAAGCCACGACATTTCTATTGCCAGAATCGTGTTCCTCTCGCCGAGACGCGTTGAATGAACTATAATTTGACCTTGAAAGGTCAACTTGAAAATTTGACCTCAGGTCAAGGTCATGACCTGACCGGAAAAGGTCATGTTGCATATCAGTCGATGCGTCTCGGGAAGACAAACACAATGAGACCATCCCCAGCGTTCTATCTCTTTCCAACCGCGAGTTATTGGCAAAAATTCGTTTGTAGCCTCAAATGACCTCGGATGACCTTTCTAGAGGCTATCAGCAAAAATGACACCCTGGTCATCACAGGTGGTCCAAATCATTGTGATTCTGAAATATTTGGACTGTTCCTATGCGTACACACGGATCTAGAGGCATTTTCATTTTTCTCCATTGACTTGTAATGGAAAGGTCACGCCACTGACCTGACCTTAGGTCACAGATATAAAAAATCCGAGATATACAAATTGTAGCCGCCCGTAACATCATGCAATCCACCAAGTTTAAAACCTTTCTGACAAACACTGCAGGCTGGACATGATTGCAAACTTTTTTTAGGCTTGGTCAGTTAACTTGACCTGGTGACCTGACCTGACATGACCTGGGGTCAAAAATTTCACACATTGTCCAAAATTGATGTACCAAAAGCTACCCCAAGCGGCGCGCGCGGTTTTTTATTTACACGCAAAAAACGCTACAGGGTGGTAACATATGCCCCCCCCCCCCCACTGGTAACGATGAAGTCAAAATATTCAAACACAATTTCTAGCAATTCTAGACCACGTAGCGCAAAACAAAGAGCACCATTAAACTCCCCGTGACGAGCTGCATCGAATCAATACCCATTTTATGCAAAAAGTTATCAACTTTGAAATTTGACCTTTTTTACCCGACCTTGACCTGACCTCTACCAGAAAGTGACCACCTTAACCGTACCTGATGGTCTTATAACCAACACCATTGAGTTGAAAATGAAAAAATGGCCATAAAACATGCATCGCCACAACCTTAGTAAAGTTGGGATCATGTGCTGACCCTTGGTGACCGGACCTGTGACCTGACCTGGTATTATCAGTGACCTCTAATAGCAACATATGTACTAGGCAACTGACGCGCTATCGCTGATTTTCGACAAAATGCGTTTTACTCGATGTTATAGCGCATTCTCTAGAAGACCCGGAACGGTAAAACATTTGATCTTTGACCTGACCTGTGACGTCATCGGTGACCCCGAGGTCAATGAAATTTGTTTTTCTTCGACAAATTTGACAGGGCTATCGAACGCCGTTTGAATTTTACGGATCCGTCCAGCAGTTGCGGAGATACGGGGGGGGGGGGGCAAAAAATGCCCCCTTCCCCCCACCGCGCGGAAGGTGGCCGGGAGGCCCACCGCCTGCCGGATTAAAATGGCGAGGCCACGAAAATGATCTGACCTCATATGACCTTTAGGAGAAATCCGAGAGATAGAAGTTGTGAGACTCCTAATGGATACTAAGTCATTCAAGTTTTATTTCCCCATGAAAGCTTCTCTGGCAGTGAGGACGTTGCTAATTTGCTACATCTGAAGACCGTGCAGAGGTTCACTTATGACATCATAGGTCAGTGACCTGACCTGACCCGAAAATGCGGTTGGTGTCCGAAGATCCGGCTTGAATCAAAGGTCAGGTACGCCAAGTTTCAGCTCTCTATCGCCAGCGTGTTCGGAGCTATCGCGAAAAAAAAACCCTATGCGGAGGAAGGGGGAGGGGCGGCACCCCTCCGCGAGGTGTTTCCCTTCGGCCGGCGAGGGAAACACCAAAATAATTTGACAGACTTGGGGTTACATATTTGCAAACCCAGAGATCAATCTGAAAAATGACCATCCATATATAAAACAATTGCTTAGACAAAATACTTTCTATCATATCTTTTACGGAACAGCATAGGTAGGAAAACTATGTGATGTCAATTCAAAACAAAACGAAAACACAGGATACTTACTACTAAGACTGTCAGGCATCCGAGAGTGAATCTTGCTGGTCTGAAATAAAAAAAGAGCTGGTAAATCGTAAGTGAACATGACGTGTAATTACAAAAAAAAAACATAAAAACGAAGAAGTGAGAGGAAGGAAAGGAGTGACCGAGACCATCGGCGCCACGAGATGCCACCATCGGCGACCCCTTCACGTGGGGGTGGCGTCTCCCTCGGGAGCCAAGTTCGCCGACACACATCCACACCCTCGAAGAAGACGACTACCACCGCCTGCCTCGCCGGACCGGCGCGGGCGGGTTTTTGGCGGCGGGACGAGGGCTGGCCCACCTCGCCCTGCTACTGATGCGGGCCGGGGACGTGGAGTCGAATCCAGGCCCCCCTCCGCGCTACCCGTGCGGAGTATGCGGCCGGGGAGTCGGCGGCTCATCGGTGCGCTGCGGCGGGTGCGCCCTCTGGCACCATGGTCGATGCGCCGGACTGAGGCCAACGGACATTACCCGACTCGCGCGCACACGCGACCTCTGGTGGTGCCCGAGCTGCATCGCGCCGCCGCCGCCGCCGCCGCCTCGGACGCCGCCGTCGGCGCCGCCGGCCCCGCCTGCGCCTGTCACGGTGCCGCCACCGCCCGCTCCTCCGCGGGCTGTGAGACCGGCGCCGGGAACCCCGCGCACCGGGCGGAACCCAAACCAGACAGGACCCACAGCCATCAGCGGCCTCCTCAAGATCCTGCAGTTCAACTGCAACAGTCTGAAGGCCAGGAAAACCGAACTGGACAAGAGAATTGAAGACGAGAAACCCGACGTCATCCTACTCCAAGAAACCAGACTCCTGGAAAGCGATGAAAACCCACGCTTCCCAGGCTACAACATAGCAGCGAGGCAAGACAGGCCACACCAGGCAAACCCGAGCCCGGCAACCACCGGAGCAGCCCGCCCCGCTGACAGTGGGCAGGGAGCACCGCCTGGACCGAGCTGGACCTGCAAGCGCCGCGGCCCGTCGGACCGCAACTCCTGGTGCGCGGGCTGCAAGAGCCGTAAGAAGTGTACGGCACGCGCCCCACCAGCGAGCGGGACCGGGCAGGCGGCCACCCAGCCCCAGCCCCCGACCGGCAACGACGGGACCCGCGGCGTGAAGGGTAAGGGAGGAGTCATGACCCTAGTGCGGGACCAACTACCGTACTCGCGGACCACGCCTCGGTATGCGCCAACTGAACCAGACGAAGAGACCTACATCACGGCCACAGAGCTTCACCCGCAGGGAACACCGTCAATAACCGTTATCAACCTGTACTCACCTCCAGCAAGGTGGGTGGCAGGGCAAGGCACCCAAGCTCAACCGTTCCAGCCTGCCCGCATCTCCCTTCCTCCGAGATGCGTCATCGCAGGCGACCTCAACGCTCACGCCCACGTATGGGACCCACACCAACCAGAAGACGCGATGGGCCACGAGGTCGAGGACTGGTCGATCGACGCCTCACTGACCATCCTGAACGACGGCTCGGCCACGCGCATCAACCCAGCCACGGGCGGCCTGTCGACGCCGGATGTTACCCTGGCGACCGCTGCCGTGGCGAGAGGAACAACCTGGGAGATCGGCGAGACGATGGGATCGGACCACCTCCCGATCACGACGAGCATCCCTGTAGCTCCACCGAAGCCGCAGCGCCGAGGGAGAGGCCGCCTGTCCCTGAGGAAGGCAGACTGGCAGGAGTACCGCAGGACCTTCGACGACATCACAGGCCGCTGGAACGACCACGGAGACCTGACGGCGAGAGAACTCGACAAACGACTCACCGCAGCCATCACCCGCGCCGCGCGCCGCACCATCCCACACGGAAACGGCGGAAGGACCAGGGAGCCGTTCTGGAGCGAGGCGTGCGACGAAGCAATCGCGATCAGGAAAGAAGCTCGCGCTAAGGTGGCCGCGCCAAACCACACCGCCGAAGACGTCCGGGAATATCAACAAGCAAAGAAGAACGCGGACACGGTCCTGCGCGAGGAAAAGACAAGTTTCCTGCGCAAGCGCATCGCGGAACTGGGGCCCAACACCGACCTCTGGAGCCTCATCCGCACCCTGGACGGACGCAAACCACCGGCGAAACCAGCAGAGCCCCTCAACCGCGCTGGCCCACCTGGCCGCCCAGCTCGACCAGCAGTGACAGATAGGGAGAAGGCCAACGCCCTATGCCAGGCATATGCGGCAGTATCCCGGATCCCACACAACAAACAAGAGGATCGCGACATCAAGCTGGAGGCGCGCGCTGCAGTGAGTGCATGCGCATGCGACGCCCAACGCAGTGGACCGTGCGCGCCATTCACACCCGCCGAACTCGACGCAGCCCTGGACAAGCTCCAGAACGGGAAGAGCCCGGGACCGGACGGCGTACCCAACGAGCTGCTGAAGCAGATAAGCCCAACAGGCAAGACTCTCCTCCTGGCCCTGATCAACAAGTCCTGGACAGCAGCGGACGTCCCAGCCAGCTGGAGAACAGCAGAAATCGTAGCCATCCCCAAGAAAGGCAAGCCGCCGTCAGAGCTGTCCAGTTATCGCCCGATCAGCCTGCTCTCCACCACAAGCAAGCTCGCAGAGCGGATGATCCAGGCCCGGCTGCAGCACTGGCTCGAGACGAGAGGGAAGCTCAACCCCAACCAAGCCGGTTTCCGCAGAGGTCGCTCCACCATGGACCAGCTCGGCCGAATATCCCAACAGATATTCGACGCGTTCGAGGAGAAGAAACCTCACCGGGCGGTCATGGTACTGCTGGACTTCGCGAGAGCCTACGACCGAGTCTGGAGGGCCGCCCTGCTCTGCAAGATGGCTCGGCTGGGAGTCCCCGGCTGCTTCATCAAGTGGCTGAGGGCCTTCCTGTCGGACAGGCGCGCCCGCGTCCGCTGGGGCGCTGCCCGCTCAGACCTCAGGGTCTTCCAGGAGGGCCTCCCCAGGGCAGCGTGCTGGCGCCGCTCCTATGGCTGGTCTACGTCAATGACATCGACGTAGCAATGCCGGAGCACGTCTCGCGGTCCCTGTTCGCGGACGACGTGGCGCTGCTGGCATGCGCCCCCACTGCCAGAGAGTGCGACGCCCTCCTCCAGCCCTGCCTGGACGCGGTGGACACGTGGCTGCGACGCTGGAAAGTCATGCCCAGCGTGACGAAGTGCACCGCCACCCTGTTCACTCTCGACCCAAGAGAGAGCGGAGGGAAGGTCAAGCCGCACCTGACGCTGCGCGGAGAGGAGCTGCCCTACTCCCGCAACCCGACCTTCCTGGGCATTAAGTTTGACCCCCAACTCACCTTCGCGGACCACATCGACGACCTGAAAGCCAAGATGTCTCGACGGAGGCGATGCCTACAGGCACTGGCCGGAAAGACCTGGGGAAGCCACCGCCGAACCATCAGAGCGGCCTACATCGGCTATATCCGGGCCCTATTCGACTACGGCGCCGCCGTCTTCGGGACATACGCCGCCCCGTCGGTAAGAGGACGCCTCGAAGCCGAGCAAAACAAGTGCGCCCGCGTCATCACCGGCTGCCTACGTGCGACCCGGAAGGACGCCCTCCTGGCCGAGGCTGGCCTCCCGACACTCTCGCTTCGGGCCCTACAGCTGGCAGGCACGGAGTACCAGCGTGTAATCCGGCTGCCCCCGAGCGACCCGGGCAAGTCCCTCTTCCGAAAGGAGGTACAGCCGCGCCTCCAACACCGAGCCTACAAGGCATGGCAAAGAACATGCAACGACGCCACCGCCGCGGGAAGACCACCGCCCAAGCCTCCAGACGAGACTGCAGCACTCCCTCACCGACCGTGCCTCAGGAGGGTCGGCAAGTGGCTCGCCGAGGAGGCAGGAATCGAGGAGCTCCCGGTGGAGCCCATGGCGTTCTACAGCTGCGACCCGCCATGGCTGGGCCACCGCGGCGGCACCACCTTCAGGGTAGACCTGCCCGTGGCCACCCGCCGGTCGGACCCGCCTGCAGTCCGCAGGGAAGCTGCCCTGCGAGCCATTGCAGAGCTCCCGCAACCGGATATTACTATCTGGTCGGACGGCTCGGCTCGCGGCGGGATGGAACAGGGCGGCGCAGGCGCGCTGATCCAGTTTCACCACCTCAACAATGAAGAAACCGTGCGCGCTCCTGCAGGGGCGGTCTGCTCCAGCTTGAGAGCAGAGCTGACCGCCATGCGCGAGGCGCTCGCGGCTGTGGCCGGTCTGGAGGAAGGGGAGCTGGCATCAATCAAGTCGGTCCGCCTCCTCACCGACTCAAGGTCTGGGCTACAACTACTCGGCCGCGGCCCAGCTAGCCAGACCATGGCTCTGGCCGCCGAGGTCTGGAGGCTGCTGAACACCCTCGCCGAGAACGGCACCGAGACGGTGCTCCAGTGGGTGCCAGGCCATGCCGGGCTGGACGGCAACGAGACCGCCGACCGCCTGGCTGCCGAGGCCGCGGCGGGCGACCAAGATAGCGCACCAATTGACCTATCGAGTGCGCGGGCCGCCGTCACGCGCCATGTCCGGGAGCTGTCGCGACGGAGGACAACCGCTGCCCACCCGCACCCGGACCCCACGCCTGGCCACGACTCCCTGGCGCGCTGGGGGTCGGTGACGCTGTCCCAGCTGAGGACCGGCACATCACCGCTGACGCGCGACACGCTCTACAAGATTGGCCTGGCAGCCAACGACGAATGCCCCGCGTGCGGGGAGCCCGACAGCGTGACGCACCTGCTGACCGATTGTCCGGCCTATGAGGCGGCCCGCCGCCGCCGCTGGGGTGTCGACCCTCGCCTGGTCGACGTCCTCGGCGGCCCGGCGGCGAGGGTCGTCGACTTCATCGAGGGTGTCGGGCGGACCGAGCCGCCGCTCGACCCGCCTGCGCCGCCGCCCCCCTGAGCGGGCTGGCGGCGGGATGCAGAAGAAGAAGAAGAAGAAGAAGAAGTGACCGAGAGAGCGAGAGGAAGCTGCAAAGATAATTTTAAAATGGAGCATATCACAGACATTTTAAATTAAACCTGCATAGAGGCATGAAGCTAGAAAATACATAACACATATATTAAGGCCAGTGCATTCCATGGCGCCTTCTCGAAATGTCACACACCTGAAAATCACATGGATCTTACAGGATTAAGTGACGTCGATTGCAGCACGGTGCCCCATTGCCTACCTGTGGGCTGCTGGCCGATGAAGGACGACTAGCGAACGCATCATCCAGCTGCTGCCTCACGTTGTGGTAGGCGTCCATGACACGGTTTTGGTCCTGGCACCCGGCGCAGCAGATGCGGCAGTTCCAGCCGCGGCGCCGGTACTGACGCCGAGTCGGGCCCGGTCCCGGTGTCTGCGCCGCCTCCCCCGTCCTCCTCACTTGCTCCGACATGCCGATGGTTACATGCCGCGCCGCGGTGGTGGTGCCGTTGCGGGGGTCGGAGCTGGCGGCGCCCGCGGGCCGACTGTCGGCGGCCGGCGGGGGCGCGGGCAGCACGCGCGCCGCCCACTGGTCCAGCTCCGTCTCGGCGGCCGACAGCAGGGTGGCGTTGAGCAGCCGCTCGCGGCGCGCCAGCAGCGCGGCGCAGTTGGAACAGAGCCGGTTCTGGTCGCCGGGGCGCAGCGGACGCTCATGGTGCACGACCGCCGCCGCCAGATGACCGCCCAGCAGCCGCACGTCAAACAGGTCGGCGCGCTCCAGGCCAGAGCCGACGGCCACGGCGCCGCCGCACACCACGCACGGGCTCTGCGACATCGCCCACTGTCTGAAACGGAACCCGGCAGTGATACTCGAGGCACTCATGATAGGTGGGTGCTTTCTGGCAGCAAAGCATTGCAATTGATAAGCCACTAGCATTGGCAATTTACTGCTGATATGATACAACTTTGCAGCAGAAGCCTATTTATAGTCACCATGCGCAAGCCTTTGACATCAGAACAAAATAAAGAAACAGGCTGATTATTTCATTAGTTATCAAACCAAGTGCACTAATGAACAGTGAACACTTAATTAGGCCTAACCACAGCACTGGCCACTGCCATTTAACATGACAAGAGGCTTTCATTTAATCATGACATATTGACACAAGGGAGGTTTGACATTCCTTCCCTATTGCACAGCTTTTGAAACATAAAAACACAGGTAAGTAATTTCATTCTTTTATTTACCAAGGCCCCTTTTAATAGGTATAAAAATGCTGAATGCCATCATTTCATTTCTTAAAGTCTATCATAAATTTATCAAACCACATGGCTGGCAAAATTATGGATTAAATTTGTTATAAAAATAACCACAGTCCACAGCCAGACATATTCCTGTTACAGACGTAGTCAGTCAGTTGTAACTTGTAAGAGATATATTTTGTGATTCTGACATTGACATTCTTTGTCAGATTAGCTGATTGCATTTGCAAGTGATTGCATGGATATACATAAAAATGAGACAGCTTTATTCAATGCATAATTTGAGGATGAGTTCCAATTTATTTCAGCCCTCACCAGTGTTCACACTTCACATTGCAACATCCGACATCACAATTGGTTGGCACTGAGGTTCAACCATGCCACTTGGTATTTTGTTGCCTTACCTCAGACATATTCAAATTAGATATTACAGCATGTCCTTAAAAAAGGCTAATCCAAGTTGCAACCTTTGCATTTTATTTGCGTGTGTGTCAGGTGTGTATCATTATGATAGGTAGGTACCCACTTAACAACCATCGTCACATCTTATTTCCTTCAACCATACATGTTGATGTGCCTCATAGCATGAAATAAATGGAATGAAAAAATGAAAAGAAGGTTAATTAAAGATGCACTGACTTAACTAGCGACTTAACTCCAGAAGCCAAGGCATCGCACGCTTAAACGAAATATGCTTTTTTTCATCAAGAGTCATTTAACAGTGGAACAAGTTGCCCGAAGAAGTCGTTACCAGTAATAATAATAATAATAATAATAATAATCCATTTATTTCGCACCGATATTTCACGGTACATATCGCCCCGATCGCCGAACACCAAAGGGACCGCCTTCTGCTCGAAGCCAACCAATTCGACCGCGCTCGTATCCTAGGCGCAGCGACGCCTGAAAGCGGAGCATGGCTCAGAGCTCTCCCGTCTTCTAGTCTGGGAACCCACCTGGACAACGAGACAGTGAGAATCGCAGTCGCTCTACGTGTCGGCGCCGATGTTTGCAGCGGCGTCCACGCCTGCAGGTGCGGCTCGCCTGCCGACGTCAAGGGACACCACGCTCTCACCTGTCAGTTCAGTGCTGGAAGATTACCGCGCCACACAGCACTGAACAACATAGTCAGACGTGCTCTGTCGACTGCAGGCATACCAGCTCAGCTCGAGCCGTATGGTGTAGACCGGGGCGACGGAAAGAGGCCAGACGGCATGACCATCTACCCATTCTCGCATGGCCGTTGCCTAGTTTGGGATGCGACATGCGTCAATACATTCGCAGGCTCAAGACTGGGAGGTGCCGCGCTGAAGCCTGGGGCGGCGGCCAAGAAAGCAGAAGACGAGAAGCGCCGAAAGTACGCCCAGCTCACCCAGCGTTTCAGGTTCGAGCCAGTTGCATTTGAAACAGTGGTCCTACGAAACAGTGCCTGTGGTCCTACGACCAAAGCCTTCCTCCAAGAACTTGGTGCTAAAATGGCGGCGGTCAGCGGCGACCAGCGAGAGATGGAGTGGCTTTGGCAGCGACTCTCCATCGCCATTGTGAGAGGTAACGCCGCTTCAGTTCTCTTGGAGTGTGCCACTGACCCGTCCCAACAACACCTCAGCGCCGAGCGCCCCAACAGGGAGAGCGCTGAGCAACAGCTGGCGACGGCGGCCGGCTCGAGGCGGTCTGGCTGCTCGGGTGGTTCCCGGTTAGTGGCAAGCCAGCACAGGTGGTCGCCGCCGTCGCCGAAGAAGTTGGAGGAGGAGAGCAGGGCGCTGCAGCTGTACGGCGGCAAGGCGCACACGGCTGTTGTTGTTGTTGTTGGTCTCCCCGGGTCGGCTCACGGCCGACCGTAGCCCAACGGCTCTTGGTGACTGAGGTAGCCGCGGCTCAAGGCCGCCACGGCCCCGCCGTCCCGAAGCTGCGTAGGGTCCGGTCTGATATTGCCGAGTAGGCGGAGCCTCGCGCCAGCCAAGCACGGGCACCTCAGCAGCACGTGCTCCGGCGTGTCTGGGCCCTCGCGACACACCAGGCAGCGCGCCGCCGGGCAGGCCAGATCACTGCACTGTGGGCAGTCGCGCTCGGGGCGGCGTCCGATTCTGTGAAGGTAGCTCTGCGAGCGGCTCCAGTGTCCCGCCCGCAGCTGGTGGACGTTGACCGCCTCGTCGCGAGACTCCAGGAGCACCGGCATCGGCATCCGGTCTCCCATGATGGTTTTGAAGAAGCTGTCTGGCCAGCTGCGACGCCATGCCTTGGTGGCGGAGCGGCCGACTGCCTTCACCATCGAGCGGACGTCCGTTGGGACGGCGTCTTGCGACAGGCTGGATGCCTCTTTAGCCAGCACGTCCGCTCTCTCATTGCCGGGTATTCCGCAGTGCGCTGGGATCCACTGCATGAAGACTCGACGTCCTCCGTCCGTGAGCGCCAGGAGCAGTCGCCATACGGCGGCGCCGAGTGCTGTCGCCTGGCTCCCAGCCCCACTCGCCAGTGTGGCGAGCGCCGCTGCGAGTCGGCGCAGACGATGACCGGGCTCTCCGCCAGGCCGCCCTCCAGCCGCAGCAGCATCTCCAGTGCCCCGCGGATCGCCACCAATTCGGCGCGGGTGCTGCTGCATATCCTGCCCGCAGGGGCTCGGAGCTCGTGTTCCTCGCCTGAGGGGAGGATTATCAGCGCTCCACTCCCTCCGGCTGAGACACCTCCCTCCGCCGAGCCGTCGCTCCACACCCATACGGCGTCGTCTGGGAGGGTGGCCAGATGCTCCTCCGCTCTCTCCCGCCGGACGTCGGGTGGTGCTGTGCGGCTGATGTGGTTGCCGATGTCAAGTCTAAACTGGACCCTGGTGTCATCGATCCACGGCGGGATGGTGACGTGCAGGCGCTCCTCCACAGGTACATCTCGCACGCCCGCGCTCACCAGGGCGCGCGCTCCCGTGTCGCGCCAGCCGGTGGTGGTGCGGAGCCGCCGTGGGGCCGTTGCTTCGGCCACCGCGCGCAGTGGGTCGCCGCTTCTTTGTGAGGCTGCCAGACAGCTCAGTCTGGCAGCGAGCAGGTCCCGGCGTGCTCTCACGGGAACCAGACCGGCTTCCGCGAGGAGCGGGTCCCTCGGCGTGCTCACGGGGCACCCGGTGATAACGCGGGCTGCGGCGCGCATCTCAATCTCCAGTAGCTCTACGTGGGACTCGGACGCCGCAGGGAGCCATGCAGCCGCCGCGTATTCCAGGGCACCGCGGATGTAGCCGTTGGCTACTACTCGCAGCTGTGGCTCCCGCAGACCCCAGGAACGCCCGGTCATCTTACGGAGCTGTGCGATCCTCGGCTTGGTCTTCTTCCGGACGCGCGCGCAGTGCTCGCCCATGTGAAGTTGCCGGTCCAGGGTTACACCGAGAAGGTGAAGGTGTCTCCCAGCGTCCACTCGTGCCCCGTCTACGTGGATGTACTGGTCCCGGGCGTCGACGTAGTGCTGCGACAGGGCTAAAACTTGCGTCTTGCTTCCTGCCAGCCGCATCTTCCAGTCGCGGGCCCATTTCGCTATGGCATCCGCCGCTTGTTGAGCCCGGTCCCTGGCTTCCGCTATCGTACCGCCGGAACACAGTGTTGCGGTGTCATCGGCGTACAGGAAGACAGAGGTGCCCGGGATCCGCTTCAGCGCCGCCACGAGGTCCGCCGACCACAGCGTGAACAGGGTCGGTGCGAGGACGGACCCCTGCGGCAGGCCAGCTCGGAATGGGCGGTTCCGGCTCCGTGACCCATTGACCTCCGCGCAGGCGCGTCGGTCTCGGAGGAAGTGGTGAATCCACGTGACAAGGCACCGTGGAAGGTGATGGGACATCTTCAGTCGCAGCATTTGATGGTCAATTACATCGTAGGCGCGGGAGAAGTCATAGGCCGTCAACACGAACCTGGCGGCGGTCTTGCCGTCAGACGGGCGTCCCTTCGGTGGCGGCCGGTTCCACCCGTCCTGGACTTCTTGTATGAGTCGTCCCAGGTTCTCCTCTGCAGAGCGGCCGCGGCGAAAACCGACCTGCTCTGCGGGGATAATGTTGTCTCGCTCCAGTAGGTGCGTGAGCCTAGCTGCCACCATCCGCTCCATCAGCTTGGCGACGTGGCTGGTGAGCGATATCGGACGGTAGCTAGTGACCTCTTGAGGGTCCTTCCCGGCCTTAGGGATCGGTATGATGATTGCTCTCCTCCATACCGAGGGGACTTCAGCGGAGCTCCACGACTTGTTGATGACGTGCAGTAGCGCGGCCTGGGCCACCGGCCCGAGGTGCTTGAGGTGTTCCGCACATACATCGTCAGCGCCGGGAGCCTTCTTCATTTTCAGCTTGCTCAGCTGGGTCCTCATCTCTTGTCTGGAGAAGGGCTGGCAGGCACCATCGCGCTGTCCAGCACATGAGCAGGGGCGCGTCTTCACCACCCTCAGATCAGCCTTCACTGATCGATCACGCCTCCTGTGACGGGTGTGGCTGCTGACGTTTGCGTAGGTGCGGACAAACGCCTCGGCCTTGGCCCGGTCCTCCGCGACGAGTTGGCCGCGGTCCCCGTTGATGGCCTGGCCGGGGCAGGTGTCCGTCACCGCACCCTCCATCTTGCGCAGGATCTTTGTGACGCGGCCCAAGGCCGCGCGGCGGTTCAATTCGGTAGACGCGAAGTCCTGGAACGCGCGGCGCCTGGCGTCAGCCTCGACATCTGCAGCGTGCCTCTTCTTCTCTTTCCAGCGCGTCTGGTTTTCCGGGGACGGGTCCTCTTGGACGGCTGCTCTTGCCGCTTTCCGTTCCTCCACCGCACGCACCAGCTCCGGGTCGAGCGCCCACGGCTTGGGGTCCGCCCGGGCGCCCCGGGGAACGCACCGCACGCTCGCCTCGATGATAGCATCGTTGAAACGCGCGGCGAGTCTCTCCACCGAGGTCTCTCCCAGCGTCAGGTCAGCCATCGTCTCCTCGCAGCGGGCCGTGAAAGCCGTCCAATCGGCTTTATGGAAGGCCCAGCGCGTCTTCCTGATGCGACGAGGCCGGTGTCCCGAGGTGGTGACCGCGACCAGCTGCGGGAGGTGGTCGCTCCCCAGATCGGTGCCGACCTCCCACGTGCAGCGCCGGGCCAGGTCACTGTGCGCCAGAGTGACGTCAGGAGCTGAGAGGCGGGCGTCCTCCCCGTAGCCGGCCCGTGTGGGGGTCCCGGAGTTGAGCACCTGCCAGTCGTGGCGGGCCGTCCACTCATAGATGGAGTCACCGACCCTGTCCGGGTTTGAACAAGAAACATCCCAGACAGGGTGGTGGCTGTTGAGATCTCCCGTGATGATAGTGGCATCATTGCTCGGGAATGCATCCAGGCTGAAGAAGTCGACCCGCTCGTCCTGGGCGGATGTTCGGATGGGCGGGCGGTACACATTGTAGATGTCGAGGTGTCTGGAGTGTTGTCTTGCTGTGCTCAAGATGACACGGATGGCACAGCACTCGGTGGTGTCGTCTTGAGGCTGAAGGGGGAGCTCCTGACGGCTCGCGAGCTACAGCTGACCACAGCCGCAGACCCCGACAAACACGGCAACGATCCGCTCTACACCGGACTTCCCAATTACGGTAACTCGTGTTACCAGAACGCCACAATGTACGTTGTGTCTCACCGCTCACTGCCCGGCAACCCCAGCGAAGACGGCGGCGGGACTGGCAGTCAATCTGACGGCAGACCGCTCGGTCTCACCGGCCTCAGGAACACGGGCAACACCTGCTTCCTGAACACAGTCGTCCAGTGCCTGAGCAACACACGCGCTCTCCACGATTACATCCTGCGCGATGGACGCTCCTCAGATGCCAGCATGCCTGCCGCCGCTACGAAGGGGTCCCTCATGAACACATTCTGCGCTCTGATACGCGACATGTGGACATCCTCGGGCGAAACGGAGCGGGTGCTCACCACCGCACCACTCAAGTCGATGATCCAACGGCTCGCGCCGCGCTTCATGGGCTCCCAGCAGCAGGACGCGCAGGAATTCCTCAAATATCTGCTGGAGGGACTTCACGAGGACGTGAACCGGGTGACGAGCCGGCCAAAGCCGATCACGACCGACATCGACGACTCAATGAACGCCAGTCAAAAGTCAATGGAGGCCTGGAAACGTTTCTTGCGCCTGGAAAACTCCAAGTTTGTTGACCTGTTCGTGGGCCAGCTCAAGGCTACCCTGCGGTGCACGGCATGTGGCCACGAATCGGTTACCTTCGACCCGTTCTGGGATCTGAGTCTGCCAATCCCGTCACGAAGTGGCCAGGTGCGCCTACAGGCCTGTTTTGACCTGTTCACCAAAGAGGAGGTGCTCGATGGCGACGAAAAACCGACCTGCTCAAAGTGCCAGAAGCGCCAAAAGTGCACCAGGAGCCTCTCGATCCAGAAGTTCCCGCGCATCCTCGTGGTGCACCTGAAGCGGTTCTCGCATCAGGAGAGGTTCGGCGGAAAGCTGAACACCACTGTCGACTTTTCGATGAACGGTCTGGACCTGTCGCCCTACTCGGCCGGACAGACGCCCTGCCGGTACAGCCTATACGGCGTGGCGAACCACTCTGGCACGCTGCTCTCAGGACATTACACCGCTTACTGCCGACACCCGTACACGGCAGAGTGGTACGAGTACAACGACTCGCGGGTCCACGTGATGGATCAGAGAAACGTCAACAGCGGAAAGGCATACGTGCTGTTCTTTGAGCTGGCCGGCTCGAAACACCGCTCCGGCTCGACCCACGTCTAGTCATCCAGTCACGGGAGAGGAGCCTGCGATCGTCACCCGCTCGGGCCCTGTGTAGTCACACCGGCCGGCGCACATTCTGCTCGGACAACTCTAGCTGGCCAGCGGCCTATCGTGATTTGTGATATTGGGTGTAAGGTGTTGTTAAAAACCAGAACGGTCTATTTTATCAGAACTGTTAACTGTCTCGCATAGCAATATACGCAAACACTTCAACACATAACAATACACACCAACACAACACATGAGCATGCAGACATAGCACAGCTACGTTTTACCCATTAAGTCAGACATCTGGGTCATAAGATCTAGGTGGTCCCGCCTTGGTCCCGCCTCATCATGCGTTCATTGACTATACGCTCAATGTTCGACATAAATATGTTTTGTAAGTCAATTGGAGTTATGACGCTGAAATCCAAGCCTAGTAGGTCGTAGGTAGCGTCTCCGAATTGCGAGGCTAGCTTTCGCAGATAATCCATTACGGCCTATTACACTATTTCTAATACACTGGACAATACCATTACATTACTGCTTTGATTGATGCGACGGTGAAACATGAGCTGTCTTTTAGCCAGAAGCATAGGACAAGTAAGTAATTGGACTCGATGACACAGTTCATGATTTCTGGTTCCAAGGGGCAAATTCATAAGCTTTTTGTTAATGTTAACAAAAAGCTAACAAAAGTTAACAAAAATGTTAACATATTCAAGAACAAAGACGACAAGCACATCAAGAAGACTACGGAGAGAGGCAGCATCCTATGAGCATCCTGCTCCCTTGCCTCTTGCAGATCTACTTGGTAAGACCTTTGGGTCAGGTCACCAACCTGTTTGTGTTGGCCGTTGCAAGGCCGTTGGATTTTGCTTTTGTCCCAATGTCTAATGGTCCAAAATTCACAGTACAACGTGGTACAACGAGTACAACTACTACTCGTAAGGTGCTCGTAAGACCGTGCGCTCGTAAGTTGCTCGTAAGTACACACGGCAAAATATGTGTTCAGATTGCTGCTTGCAAAAGGATATTATAAAGTTTGATGACGTTAAGCAATTACTCAAAGCCTTTTTCGCTTGTGCTCACTTACGAAGGCATCAGCTACTGAACACAGTTCCAAGTAAAGAATTACCCATTCCTTTGCCACGGCTGTGATCGAAAGTGCTGCTCAGCTGATAGCCTTTGTAAGATTCGTAAGATTGAACACAACTTTGAAAAATGATTGTTTTTTATTATTAAATAGTCAGCTAATCGATAGAACAGATATCAAACTTTTGTATTAATGTGCTTGGTACCAAATATGAAGAGCTTGTTGCTGAGAATAACTTTTTACAGTGGTTTTGGTTAAATAGCCAAACGGTTGTCATTCATCAGCTGTATGCGTGCCTTTGTTTACATTCCATAAATAAAGCAGTTTTTGACCTTCTCTTACGCTTGACGTGGGGCTGTTGTCGCCCCTACCTCGATTCATATTTTGATTTAGGCCCGTTTCTTACCTATTTTCGGAAAATCGGAAGTAAGGTTAGCTTTGCATAGCGTGTCGTCGTTTCCTGATAAATGTTTTTGTCCTTCGCTAAGCTTAAAAAGCTCATTTATGCATGAACAAGTAAATGCACTGTTTTCAATTTTTTTTTAAAATAAATTTAGTCCAAACCTTTTGATAGGAGGGATTCACAAGGACAGAGCCACGGCTAAGCGAAGCTTGTTGCGGTGGCCCTGCCCTCTACCCTCCAATTGCGGAATTCCAGTTCTATGACAGAATTTAGAGTCCAAAGTTAAACGTGCGCTCACAGCCGCGCACGGCCAGTCCTGAGTCCCGTCACTGACTTTGCCTGGCTATGGCCTGCCACCGACTGCAACCATACCTGTCAGGACAGGAGGGCAATGTCAAGCGCCTGTTGTGCTTCAAACCTGGACTGTTATAACCGGGAGTGCATGCTCTCGCCACGCAGAGTCCAATGCTCTACCATACCAACTGAGCTATGGGACCGGCGTTTAAATGGAACTCATATTGAGAATCAGCCACTAATCCATCTCCATTTGTTATTTGCTTTGCTGTGTATTTGTAGGTAATTATGACCAGTAGCAGTCTATGCCTTTGCTGCTAAAACCAAGTCCAATTGTGTGACACCAGGAATATTATGAGCTGCTCTAGGGTGCTGACTGCTGGCCACTGGGTGCATGAGTTATTTTGGGATATTTGCAGTTTGCTAGTATTAAAGGGACCCTCCCACCTTAACATTAGTTTTGAGTTGAGATAGCCAAGTTTGCGGCCAGGCTCAGAAACCACCATTTATCCTGGTCGCAACCCCCGCAGCTTTATGGTGTTCAAGAAATTTCTTCCCTTTACTTGCAGGGTGGGACCAGCGTGGTCCCTATCTCTTAACCATTACGGGAGTCTGATGACGTCATCAGGCTTTCGAACGTCCGTTAAATGTTTGACTAAAACGTTTTGTAGCACGCGGTGGTAAAGGTATGCTGCTTTGCGCGCAACAAATGCCGCACTTTCAAATAAAGTCGCTAGGAACAGCGGAAATCCCAAAAAGTAAACAAAAGTAAAAGGCTAATATCTTGAAAACCGGTGAATATTTTTCGATGAAATTTGGTAGATATTCGTTTTTGCTCTTTCTGAACCGAGCGACATCACTTTCATGCCAATTCATTAACTTTTTTGAAGGTGGGAGGGTCCCTTTAAGATCATGTATTAACACCTACTTGAATGCTGGTATATTATATACCCATGCATTTCTAGTTTTTATTATTTACAGCAGACTTTAAGTTCCAAAATGGTACAAACATAATATTGCTGAGCTAAAACTGTTTTATTCTAACACATTCTTAAATAAGGTTATTAGGAAGTAGGAATTTTACCATAGCTCTCTGGAAAATGCCTCATCCTGATCCTATTCCTACATACCTTTTTGATGCAAAAGTACATAAGAATGCTGTTCAATGCAGCCATCCTTTTAGTTTTAGTTTGTGGGCAGTTTCATACACACCACTGTTTGTCTTTTCAGGCTGTGAACGACACGATGCCACGAGCGTTTATCCGAAGCGTGTCTCCGTCAATGCTGGTGTGCCATGGCCGCAAATCGGGCTCACCCAGTGTGCAACTGAGGGATAGCGGTCAGCAGACGGAGCGACCCGGAGACCTGAGCGGTACGTACAGAGGGGTGGGGTGGGGCCTGGGAGAGGGGGTGAAGCTTAGGGACAGCGGTCAGGAAACGGAGGGCCCCGGCGACTCGGGCGGTACGCAGGGTGGAGAAGGAGCGGGGAGGAGGTATACTATCGTCACCAGCCGAACGGGACAATGACTGGGGATGAAATGGTGGCGAATCTGTCGTGTGGAAGTTTTGGTGACTGTTCTTTGTTCTTCAAAAGGATCGACACGATTGCCTTTGCTGTTTTAAGTAGCTTGATTGCCTGTTCTCATTTCGTGAAGTGTACACCTCTACAGTGATGATATAGTTGAAAGTGTTATTTCTTATCAAGTATGTTTTGGTACACTCACGACAACTGTCAGCCGCTTCCCCATCCGTATCGTCAGTCCGTATGTTTGTTCTATCGACACTCACCACTGGCACCCGTCGCTCTGCAGCGGCGACGGGCGGCGCTCTGTCTCCCACCCAGCCGGGGGCCACCGTGCCCATCCGCCGGGCTCTCTCGCTGGACGCTATCTACCTGCTGGGACAGTGGCCCCGCGAGCGGCTGACGGCACCCAGCGCCGGAGCAGCCGGGGCAGGGGCAGACAAGGCGACGCAGGTGATCCGCGCCCAGCGGCTGGCTATAGGCCGCACTGAGTGGCATGGTAGTACGCTAGTTATGTTTGAGCTGTATGCTTATTTCCTGGTCAATCAGATCGCAGCCTGAATTTTGCTAGAGATATAGGGTGTTCCCAAAGACATATATTCAATGTAATGGACTGTTAGATGTATCTTTGCCTTTATATTTTTTCAAGCGCTTTCTACCATAGTACCATAAAGCAACTAATTTGACAACCTTACCCTGCTCGTCTGCATTATATTTTGCGTTCTCTGAGCATTGTTCAAGCTGGAACATCCTACGCTAACACTCTCTGCCGCTGACAGACCCCGGACGAGTGGGTGCCTCTGCGGTCTCACACCAGTCCCCTGGCCTGGGGCTCCGGTCTGGTGTCACCGGTCGGCTCCGGACCCGGCACCGCCGACTGCCTCGAGAAGAAACTCATCCGACAGAGGTGGGCGGGATGTTTTCTTATCATTTCACATTTTTTATTGCAGAATATCATGCAGAGATGATGCAGAGGTGAATATGCAGAGATCACGCAGAGATAGAGGTCATGGTCAACTGGTGTGGTTAAATTTGGCAAGCAGTACCTCGAAATCAATGTTTATGTCAATTGAACAGAAATGATATCCAGTCTGATACACACATGGCAGACCTTATAATCAAGGATGAGTGCTGACAGCTGTGCTCTCGCGGCCTATGCTGGGACAGACGGTCGTTCCCTCTCCACTCAGCGTTATCTAGGACGGTGGTGTAGTCACCTCACTCCCGGTGACCTCTCGCCCACCGCTGTCCACCACAGACTGCAGAGGAACACCAAGGAGCTCTCGTCTGCCCGCGGCTGGGGTCCGGGCGCGGTGCGGCAGTCACCGGTGCCGGCCGACCACTCGCTACTGGTACCGACCGGTGCGGCGCGTCCCATCACCATCCCGACGTCTGCGGCGGGCCGGCCGCCCACTACACCGCCCCGGTCGCGCAGCTCCGTGGAGGGACTGAACCAGGAGATTGAGAGACTGGTGCAGCAGCGCGTGCTCGCCTTCAGTCAGGTGAGAGGGCGGGGCAGACTAGGCAGAGGGAACAGAGGATATGTGCGGAGGGGAGGGAGTGCAAAGGTATGGAGACAGAGGGGGACGAGGCGCAGAGGGAGGAGTTGATGGGAGGAAGGGATGCAACGGGTGAGGGAGAGAGAAAGGAATGGCTTTAATCGCTCATCCCTCGAGAATAGTAGGTGGAGGTAGAACGTAGCAAGATGGGCTGTGTCGCTGGGAAACGGGACTAGTATGTAGTTGGCCTCTTTTGATGTATACCTGTCTTACATATGATGTAGCTTGAGTATTTATTTTGAAGGAAAATGACAGACCGTAGTACGTAAGTGGGTTATAGACGTTACTTGTGGCTATTCTGCTTATGATACCATCTCATGCTTCGCCGCGGTGGGCAGCTGATCCACGGGGCCGCTTCTATCCACTTATCTACTCTTGTGTCCACCTATTCCACCGCCCCGTTCCACCGCCAGTGTCCGGTGGACGGCCACCTGGCGCCGGTGGACGAACTTCTGCTCCGCTCGCGCCGCTCCGTCAACACCCAGACCCCGCTCGACGATCAGCTACTCTCGCCGACATTCTCCGGAGATATGGAGGCGCTCGGACTGGCAGGTACGGGGGCGGGACGGTGTGTGGGGACCGAGGATTGGATCCACGTCTAGTGATTGTGTTTATATAGCTCTGAGGGTTCAGGTGTGTTATTTGAGTCTCATCTATTTTGATGGTGTACGATATGCCATGGAAGATTATCCCACCATAAATAGTTGCCTTTAAATGCTTTGAATCAAGTTCCTTGGATGTTGTGTAGCTACTACAGTGAGGAGAATATCTAGTGATTTTTTTGTGTGTTTTAAGAAAGCTAGGCGCACACTCCGTTTCTCTTAACCTACCTCGACTGTCTCCTTTCTCGACAGACGACATCAGCAAGAGCTCCACGCCGGACCTGGAGCTCAGTCGGCTGGGCTCGTCGCCGCAGATTAACCGGTTCCTGGCGCGTGCGCCGCCAGATGGCTGTGAGCGCGTCTGCCTGAAGACGGTGGAGACGGTCAGGTGAGGTGGAGACGGTGCGGTAGAAAAGGAGGGAGGTGGGAGTGTCTGTGTGTTACAAGATTATGAGCAGGGCGTTAGCATGCTCGGTGTCGGTGGGACTGGTTTGTATGGTTTGTATGGTGTGGAATAACTCAGCCACGCCCAGGTAAAACAGCTCACATGCACAACAAGCTATGTATCGAGGAGCTGTGCGTTTCGACCCTTGACCACCGCACGGCTGACCCGTTTGCGCGACGTCTGTCCACAGGAAGAGCACTCCACCGGACCCGATCATCAAACCAGCCGTGTTCGAGTTGAAGCCCAGTCTCGGGTCCGCCTTCACGCGGCCCGCCTTCCGTAAGCGGGCTGACGATGCCTCAGGAAGTGTGCCAACGCCGACTAAGCCCGCCCTGCTCAAGGCTCCGCCCGTGCCGCTGTGAGGTCCGACGCAAGGTGATGTCACAAGCGGCTGATCTCAGCACAGACGAGTGTAGTATAGACGGCGCTAGGAGCGGTGTATAGATATCGCAGCGGGCGCCAAAGCTGCAATGCCGTGGGAGAGAAGTTAAGTCCATTGTGATAGTTAGAGTGAGTTGATGTGCATGTGTGCGATGTTTCACGTCATTTGACGCCTTATCTTTCGTTTCTGGGCTGTTGGAGGGTCGGCAGGTCTTTGTTGTTTTCTGAGTTGGGAGTGGGAGGGGGCAGAGGTGTTGCTGTTGTTCATAGACTGTGCCGTGCTCTGGGCCGTGTTCTGTTGGTGGTACGGACGGCACGGGTCTGGCGTTCGCCGCTGGGTCTTTCTCTCCTACTCTGCTCGGTGTGGACCGTGCTGTGAGGTTTCTGGTGTACAAAAGACGCCACACGGGAAGGTGCCGGCGAGATATAACGGTGATATCTACCTGAGAAAGAGATAGAGACATAAGAGGATAACTGCTGCTGACGCAGTAGAGGTGCCAAGACAGCTACCAGACGGGAAACAGTGCCATCACTCGTAAATGCTGCGCATGGCCGCACGGAAGCCAAGTGTTTGGCTGCAGGTGGTGCTGGCTTTTTCCAGTTGGTACATTGATTGCCGGAGAGTGTGCACTGGGCGATGCGCACGTGCACGACCGATTGAGAAAATGAGCCGATGATTTTAGGGGACGCCGGAGAGCGGAAAGACATTGAAGGAGGTTAAGAGTACTGAATCTGAGACTAGCAGCGCTTTTCTTTTAGTCCAGTTTGGAGATGTAGCAGTTTGAAGGTTTGAGACGGTTTGAATCAGCAATGGTGGTGAGAAGCTCTAACAGTGAAGTCGCACAGGA